AAGAAATGGATATAGTTTCTGTGTCTATAACAAGGAATAGTATGAGTTATGGCAGATAATGGCAAAGAAACGTTCACTTTGGGAATGCCTCTAGTGAGCTCCTCTAGCTTAAGCTGCTGATGAATATGACTTAGCACCACTGTAGACTGTGAAGCACTCTGGTTTTGCTGCAAAATTTCCCCTGGAGAAACCACCAGCTGACTGGAGGCAGAAACAATGAGCATTAACAGCTTCACTCTTCTAAGGGAAAAAGTGTGTGTTCACCAGGAAGTGTATGTCCCAAGCTGAGGATATCATCATCTCAACCTTCATGTCTGGCAGAACAGTCTAGAAAACTCAAACAGGAGTCAATAAACTTGTCCTGCTACTAATGTAACTACATTAGGTTCTGCTACTAATGTAATTACACATCCAGGACAAGACTCCTTCTCTTTCCACCTCTACCAACCCTTAATCAGCCTTGAGTTATTACACTGTCAGGGGACAGTATCTCCAGTAGCTTGAGCAAGATGTGGAGCACAGCACCACCTCTATTGAAGGCAACACCACCAGACCCCCCATCACAAGAGGCACAGCAAATGATGTCAGAAGGCCTCTGTTGAGAGCAAGTACTTGAGGAAGGACCAGAGGACTATGCCAAGTAGTGATGGTGCTGTACCGTGCCATAGTCCAAAGCCAGTCTTATTGCACACATCTGACATGCTGGAGCAGGGCAGAGGCTGCAGTACAGCTCTGCCAACACCTACAAAACAGGCTTCAACAGGTTGCCTGCTTTTTGCCTTGTCCAGAGAGCAACTTGGCATCCCCAGCTCTTTGGTAAAATGGAGAGAGATGTATGAAGACCATAAGGGGCTGCTGGGCACTCCCGCTAAAATACCCAGACCTGTGGCAGCACAAGTGCACAGCAGCATTACTAAAAAATGTCATGGAACCACAGAAAGGCTGGGTTGGAAGGGACCTTAAAGATCATCCCATTCCAACAATCCCTGCCACGAGCCCAGACACCTTTCACTAGACCAGGCAGCAGAGAGCAGCATCCAGCCTGACCAAGAACACTTGGGATAGGGAATAAAAATAGTAAACAATCACATATTATATTTTATACATATTTTATGCAAATATTAAATTTAATTATTTAAAAAGTATTTTTAAAGGACACTCTTTTAAATCCTGACCCAAATTTGCCATTTCAATTTTTTACGCCACTTAGCCTGGATTTTATAAGAGGTAGTATACATGTATAAAAATATGTATATCATAATATATTATGTATTATATAATGCAAGTCACATATATAAATAATATTGTATATATAATATACAATATAAAACACATTTGTAGTCATGGACTCTATATGAATAATTATAGACTATAATGTATAACATACATATGTTCCATAGATACACTAGATGATATATATTGTATATCATATTATCACAATGTGTAAGATAATGTATTTTATACATATTATCGCACATAATGTAATGTAATGTATATACATTATACATAATAACGTATAAGATAACATATGTTATCAGTGTATATATATCCATATGTACATATATGACTGCAGAGCTCTGTAAGGCAGCTCGTCCCGCAGCCTTTACTGAAATGCCGTCAGCCGGCGCCGAGCCGTTCTGTCCGACCCAACACCGCCCGATACCTGCTGTGCGGGAAAACCAGGCGCACGATAATTTCCCCCGGTGTTTCAAGGGCAATGACTACTTTTGATGTGTAAACCAGGAGCCAGCCCCCGGCTCGCCCACACCACCCAGCGCCGCCATTGCCGACCAGGCCCGCCCCGCTGGGGGCGGTGTCCCCCCCGGTCCGTGGTAAAACCCCCGCCTCCCTCCGCCAGCCCTCAGCGGTACCTCCGCGGTCCGCGCTCCCCCCCGCCCGGCGATGGTTCGCTCTGCCTCGCTCTCCCGACGGCGGCGAGGCCGCACCACTCCGCAGGCGCGGGGAGAAAGAAGGAGATGCGCGGAAACGCGCGGCCCACGGCGCTTCCTGCCGCCCGGCCCCGCCCCACGGGCGCCGCTATGGGCGGGCGGGCAGCCCGATGGTGTGCATTGTCCAGAAACCAGGAAAGGCGGTGAAATTATTTCCTTCCCAAGCCACATATTCTAATCACGCAAAGGAGGAGTTAAAAGAAAAAAAAAAAAAAAACCAAAAAAAAAAAACCCTAAAATCCTTCAAACTCTGGTGGAGTAATAAGTCTGTCCTTATCCTGGACAGACTACCATGGCAGAGCATAAATATTTGTCAAACTCCCATCAATAGAGACATGAATTAGTTACAGTGTGAGTTTGCTTTTAGGTTATACCTCTATATAATTTATAATTTTAGTATATATTATATAATTTTATATAATTTTTCTTAGCAGTAAGAAAACTGAAATAAATTTACCCCCATGCAACACAATAATGTCTATTAGCTGCAAACACAGCTACCTAAAAATACAAACCGTAGCACAGTAATGAGGCATGTACTGCAAGAAAAAGAAAAAAAAAAGCCAAAAAGGAGATAAGTGCAATATTTAAGGACAAAAAATAAACATATGTGCACTTTTTTATATATATGAATAGTCTGGTTTTAATTTAGAAATAAAATTCCTTGGGCATTTAATGTCTTAGTTATTTGTTGGAAGTTGGCACTTGGTTTTCTAAATTTTTCACACTGCTTGCCTATGAGCACTTCCAAAGCATTGTTTACAAATGCCATACTGAGATGCATGGTGTATTTATATGCATACATGTATAGCAATTTAGTTAATCTTTGTATTTCCTAAGGCAGCCAACATTGAGAGTCACATATCTACATGAAACACATGGAAAGGAAATTAAAAGCTGAAGTAGCAGCCAAGGAATATGGCATCATTTTAAATTAAAATTTTATTACTGTGGTACCAGTTCCTGAGGGCTGAAATAGTAACACTTTAACTATGCTAGTAAGAAAAATAAATGTATTCTCAGCAAAAGTGAACTGCCCTGGGTTAAATCTCAGCGTTTGTGAGGGATATGTACCACTATCTTAAAAAGTCATAGAAGCTGAGCAGTGACCTGTCACAGGCAGGCAGCAGAGCCACAGTGTAATATCACCTACAAAATCAGAAGGCAGCTTGAATTTTAAGGACCTCTCTTGCTTGGAACTCTTTAAATCTGCATTCCTAGTAAAGCAAATCTCCACAGGCCTTTGTGCCCAAGGTTCTTCACCACAGCTCTTTCAGTAGCAGCACAAACCAGAAGTCTAGAAAAAGACCAGGGGGTTTTTTTGCCTCTCTGGGACGGACTGTGAGTAGTGCAGGGCAGATGTCGCAGCGAGGGTGAGTCTCTGCAGTGACATTCCTGCTGAGGCAGCCCTGGTGACCTGGAGGTGTGGCACCCTCAGTACTGTCAAACCAGGGCAGTACAAAAGGGGATTTATGTCCTTAATGATGTTACTGCCTGCCAAGGGGCTCCCAATGTTGCAAAAATATGGAATAGGTAAACATTGTCTTAAGAAATTATGTTCTTTGATCTTTGTATACTTTCAAGCCCAATTGACCAGAAAGAAGATGTAATCAAGCTCTAAGCTATGTCCAGGTGTTAGAAAGACAAATTGCTTGTTGGCAGAATGCTTTTTTAAGGCTCCACATGTTCCACTGAAATCACACCTCAAAGAGATGGAGGTTTACATAGCTTGGGAAGAAGGATGTATCACTGTCAGTGGGCAGAAAGAATGAGGAATTTATTGGACACAAGAACATTTGGCAGAACTCCCAAGATAAGGAAGAAACTAGCAAAGCAAATTCAGCAGCAGTGCTGGGATCAGCTCTGACTGGATAAAAGGTAATTCTGGCAGGGGGAGTTTGCAACCATTGACTAGAGAGAAAAAATGAGCATGTGGAATAATCAGCATGTGAAAAATGCGTATTTTATGACTGGCTTTTCACAAATATTAAAATGAATATTATATGTGTTGTGTTAGAAAGTAATGCTGTATTAATTCTCTTAAGTAGTGTGTTAAATATAGTTTTAGGTTATAACGAAATGTTAAAATAGAAACTATGCTATGTAGGATACTTTTTTTTCTAAAGAAAGGACTCGCACTGAGATAGCAGTCACAGGACACCTAAATCTTTCAGAGAAAGAGAATTTATTGCTCCATTATCAGAAGAAACGAACTTCTTCCTGCCTTGCTCGGGCAGAATGACGCCGTCAGGATTATGAGGAAGAAGTTGATGATGACCAGACAGAATCTTGTATTTGAATGGAATTTATGCATCATGTATGAGATGTATGAATATGCAACAGGCTATTGTTTTTAAGGGTTAATTCTCTGTTAGTATCCTTTTTCAGGCTTATGCTGCCCAGAAAAAGGTACCCGGACGTCCATCCGTCCGAAACTCTTTGTTTCTATTGTCTCATATTGTCCTAATTCAAATTGTCCAAATTATTATTACTCTAATTGCATTACTATTTTTATAACCATTTTATAACTATTAAACTTTTAAAATTTTAAAAAGTGATTGGCGTTTTTCACAAGCTTAAGAAGGAATCATTTAACCAATAGAAGATAGCATGCTTATTAATAAGAGAACTGTGTAGCTTGTGTACAATGAACATGAATGACTTTGTTTGCTAGAATGTATATATAGTAATAAATTTTGGTAGTCATCGTGCTGGCCTTGTGCACCCCTTCCGGCGCAGATCTATAACTCAAATACCTCGACCCTGGGCGTGGATTGGCGCCTTGCACAGCGGGTGAAAGAAGCTGCTTTGGGACACAGGGAGGTACCGCTGCCCAGGGGGGTGCGGGGTCAGGGTCAAACCCTTTAAGGGGGCTCTTTAGGGTTCCTCCCAAACGCGCGGCCGTGGTCGCAGGGGCTGCGGGCGGTGACCCCACTCCTCCTACAGCGCATGCGCCCAGCGGCGGGCGGTGCTGCCCGGCTGAGGGCGGTGAGCTCTGTGCTCGCACGGCGCATGTGCTTGGCGCAGCGCCGGGGGCGGGCGGAGCGGCGCGGGGGGCGGGCAGCGATGGCGGCCGCCCTGGGGCTCTCGTCCGCGGCGGGTTCCCCCGCCGTGAGCGAGCTGTGCCAGAACAGGAGGGAGATCTTCCTGGAGGCCTCGCGGCTGCTCCTCACTTACGCTGACAACATCCTCCGGTGAGCGGGGTCGCCGCCCTCGGTCTGCGGGCGGTGCCGCAGGGTCCCGCCGGCCGCTCCCCGGCTCCGCGCGGCTCCTTCGGTTCTGTTGTGTAATACCGGAGCTCAGAAGCGTCTCGCGTGGTTTTGTCGTTATTTTAAAATTAATGTTGCTTACATTAACAGAGGTGTAGTGTTCTGGATTTCTGTTTCTTTATTTATTGCCGGTTGGTTTGTTTTGAAAGTTTAGGAGTTTGTGTATTAACAGCAAAATGATGCCTTATTCCTGATTTTCCACCTTAGGTGGGTATTGAGCTACCTAAAAACAAGTGGATACACAGCAAGTAATTTAACTTGATTTAAACTTATTTTTTACTTAATTTTGACTTTTTTTTTTAAATTGTATTTTTTTGCTTGCCGTATGCGTCTGACTTCGCAAGGCTGGTACCAAGAGTTAATTATGGCCGAGTTTCTGCGAGGTGGCTCTGTAGGGTGCCCGTAGTCGGCAGTACGTGTGATTGACCTTGGTGTCTCCCGGCAGCTCCAGGTGTATGGGCTGCCCCTCCTGTCTGTGTCTTCCTTGTCAGCCACTTGTTAAAGCTGCTGTGTGACAGAGAATGGCGAGTCCCGGGCTGGGTTCTTTTAAATAAAGAGGCGAGAGAAAAAGGTTTTTAAAGGAGTTGAAAGTGGAACTGAGAGGTGGTACGGAGACCACAGTCGTTCCACTCAAGTTTAGCAGGCAGTTCCACCAGGCAGTTTAGCACAGCTTTCGTGGTGGGACCAAAGCCATCCAGCATTAATCTGTCAGGTTCAATTGGAATGCACCAGGTATAAGGGGATGTGAAGTTGTCTCTTAAGTGTCACTACAGACTTAGTCCTGTTGGGTATGACTGCAAAACATGAATTCATGAACAAAAGTTGCAAGCTAATCTTTAGCATCAGTTGGTAACTCAGAACTAAGTACAAAAAACCATTTATAAAGTCAAAGTTTTATGTAGGTTTTGCCTAAGTGATGTAAGTGAAACTAAACTACCCGGCTTTTAAGTGTCTACTTCATTTGCAGATATAATTATAACTTCATTTGCAGATATAATTATAACTTTCAATTTGTTCAGGAATCCCTATGAGGAAAAATACAGATTAATTCGGATTGGAAATCCAGCATTTTCCACAAGGTTGTTGCCTGTCAGAGGAGCTGTTGAATGTTTATTTGAGATGGGGTTTCAAGAGGTGAGTATAATGTAGTAACTTCAGGTATCTTCATTTGTTTACATAGTAAAATTTAAAATTGGATTTTTTTTTCTGCTTCTCTAGTGCAAGGCAGTAGATTTTAGGGCAGTTGGTGTTTTCTTTCAGTTCTTGTCTGCAAATATCTGTAGCTAACCAGCAGAGAATACAGATGTGGCTGTTTCAGAAAAATGGTGAGCTAACCTAATGCATACCAAGATTTTTGTTTTGCTGCTCAGGCACTGCTGCTTTACTGAATGGCTGGATACATATCCATGCTGGCACAAAGGAAGTGGTGGGAAGCAGGGTGGAAACCCCTTCTCTTTGTAGTAATCTGCTCTTTGGTAAACATCAGACATTGTAAATGGGTATTGAAACTGCCATTTTAAAGAGAGAAAAAGAAAATTTAAAAAGCCCTGCTCTTCTTCATGTTTCTACCATTAGTAGGGCCCTGTAGTGATTTAGATAAGGGAAGCTGATTTGATGAAAACTTAATCTTCCAAAACAAAACCAGAAATGTTTTTCAGCCAATTCACAGTGCAGCTGCACAAGTACTGGTGTTGTCATGACAGCAGTGAAGGGCAATAGACTGACTGTTCAAGTAGTAGTAGGAGGGTGAGTCCTTCAAAACCCATTTTTAAAAGTTACGAAATGTTATCCTAAAATAGTGTTGCGTGAATCTTGATTCTGTTGCAGCCAGAAGGATGCATTTCAAAGATTGCTTTGTGTTCTGAGGTGGTCCCTGTCTTGGTGGAACTTAAACTGCCAAAACTTGTTAAACCAGAAGCAGTTTTTATAATTACTGGAAAGCTGGTCTAAAAACCCAGCTCTTGTTTAACAGTGCAAAGGACTTGCTTTGCTTTAATTTGTCTGTTTGATGCCACAAACTGTATGGATATGTACATTATGTTACTTAGGTCCAGCTGTCATGAGACCTCTGCCTTCTCTTTGGCTAAAGTTATTACTGTAATTTTTTAATTAAAAGAAAAAAGGGTAGTGAAAGAAGTGGTGACTGCAGAGGGAGAAACGGTTTGTGGATTTATTCTCAGGCTGGTGCTCAGGAGACTTTTAATAGTGTATTTTAACCAGGAGCTGGGTGGTGTAGCTAAGGGCAGGTCTCTGAGAGTGTGTTGTCTAAGTCTTAGAGTTACTGTGTCAGTCAAAGCTGGAGTTACAAACTTCTCTTCAACTGCGTGGCTAATATTGTTCCTTCTTTTGTTTCTGCTTGATAAGGGATTGATACGTTCTATTTAGTTTTGTGGTGATTTTAAGTATTATCACCAAGCCTCCATCTGCAGTGATATGTGACCTCAAGTAACTGCAGGTAAACAAATTACCTGAATAAATAGAAGTGCTGCAGTGGTAGAAACTGAAACTGGTAAAGGATGAATGCTTCAGGATATTCATGTTTTTAGTAACCTGTTCCTTTATGTTAAGTACACAGATATTTGATTCTGTCATAATTACTGATCTCTTGTTATGTTACCAGTAATCATGTTGCACTCAAAAATAAAACCCAAAAAACAACCCAGGTACCAGTTGTAATAAGAGTAATATTGCCTATCTAAGAACTTAAACTTCAACATAAAAGATACCAGTATGTGTGAGAATTTCCAGCAGATGCTTTTCTAGGGGCGTCTTCCCTCAACATTGGATGTCTTCCTGTGTTGCCTAGGATTTAATTACTGTACTACGAGAACTGAGCATTAATTTTTCATTTCTGTTATTGCTACTTTCTGTGCCAAACCATAACTACATAGCCCATGAATGGCTCCACAAAATAAGTTACTAACTAAAGCATGTTGTTAGGAACCCTGTTTCTTTAGATTGACTCTAGGTTCTTTATCTGGTAGGCTTCTGAAGCTGTGAGAGGCTTCAAGCTTCTGTTGTAGGGGACCTAATCTAAAAAGCTGAATGCTGCCAAGCCTTAGGGTGCTAACTTCCAGTAAACTGTTCAGCTATAGCTACAGATCATTGACCAGCTTAGACATGCATTAACTGCTGAATTCACTTGTCTAAATTTCAGGGAGAAACTCACCTGGTTTTCCCTAAGGAAGCTTCAATTGAGCAGCTACGTAAAATCAGAGACTTAATTGCTGGAGAGAGGAGTAGCAGACTGAATGAGTCAAACCAAATCCACAGATCAGGATCCTCTGAAGCTGTCAGCAGCACTCAGACAGCTCCACAACGGCCTTCGAGACCTGTTGCCCCTGCCCGTCAGCAACCAGAAACATCACTTGTGCAATCTCTTGAAATGGTAATTATAATCTGCAAACTTCATAGGCTCATTAGTCTTGCATATAAAGATTGAAGAAGAATTAACTGTTAGGACTTAGAAAGTTAACTGTCAGAGAAAATGAGTAGACTTCAGATAAGCACACTGTTAAGCCTAGAGGACCTTGGTCTGACCACATAGCTAATCTTGCTTTAAGAAGGTTGGACTAGACATTTTTTCCCCCCAGTGGTTTCTGAAGGTTTTTGAGTGTTTTCTTCAGTTTACATACAACTTAAGCATGAAATGTGCTATAAACAGAATATTAGCAAGAGATTTTGTTGAAGATGTCCATGAATATTCTGTTGATCAGAGTGTCAAGAAAAAAAGCAGATATGTATTGAAAAGGAGCAGCAAATGGGAGAACAAGGCGGAGAGTGGGAATCTAAGACTTGGGTTATGTTTGGTGTTTGAGTACCATCATAAGAAAAGGAGCATAACCATAATGCTTATAATTGTTGGTGTCTTGGTTCATGCATTATGATCTCTATGTGTAGCCTGTGAGGAGGGCTTTCTTTTTTCACATGTGCCTGTCATTAAAAACAGAAATTTAGCCAGACAAGGACAAATTTATAGTTATTTAGGCTAAGTTTCCCTTGTCCAAGAAATTGAGATGAAGTTCCTAATCAAGACAGAGCAAAGTCCTTTCATCTGATGTTAATGGGCGTAATGGGAGAAGACTCAGCACTTCATACAACTTTGAAAAACAAAGTTACACCTCTTGATAGAAGCTTTTAAGGATGCTTTGGTTTAACTTTCTGAAGAGTTTTTCCTCCTAGAACCAGTGTCACTTTAATCTCAAAGTTAGTGTAAGATGAATCCTTCCAAAAGCTCACTTCCCATGCATCCTTAAACACAATTTGCATGTTTTATGTTATTATTATCCGTATATTGTTGGATATGAACCATGACATACTGTTTCTTCCCAGTGCCCACCCAAGTCAGTGAATGAGAAATGGCAAAGCATTATTTGAAGTGGTAGCTTTTGGGGATAGAGAGCACTGAATGAGCCATCCTCACACAACAGGTCTTTTGGGAAAGCTACTGTTGTAGGCATGTTGTATTGAGACATTTAATCTAATTATGTTAGCATGGCAGTAGTTGCCTCTAAAATGTGCTGACTGGATTTGTTTTACTTTGTTTGGAGGTTTCTGGGTTGATTTTTTGGCCCGCTTCTAGATTTTTACTGTTTCAGCCACTTTTGCAGTGGTGGTTGGAAGCGATTATGGAACCTGCAGAGGGATTTGCTGCTGCTGAACTGCTTAGTAAGGGAAGCTTTAAAAGTTGAACCTGCAATGACAATGGTGTTGCACAATGTTGACACAATGTATTCTGAGGTTAATCCTTTCAATTTCTAGTTATTCTGCTCCAACATACACCAGCCATCAGAGTTGTGGATCCATTTCTCTGAAACTATTCATTTTCCATGCTTGGGTGATGGGACCTAACTTACTACTATTTTGAGGCATTAGTAATGCAGTGTTGGCACTCTGTTAGAATGCTATATTTAGCTGATTCCTAAATGTGGGGAGACTGATAGGTCTCTGGGCCATTGTATTTGGTCTTTATAGTCTGAATTGATTGGAAGGAAGTCTGGCAGTGACTTGGCCATTTTGCTTGCACAGCAGTGGGGGGTTTGATTTCCAGTGAGTACGCTGCAGAGTTACAGTTGTGTTATTGTTGTATGCACTGCTGACAGATGTCAGATTTAGAGTTGTTTCTGTAGTGCAAGCATTTTTTTCTTGCCTGTGTTTCACCTGTCATTCATGGGAGGCCTGGTAAACGCAGGGAAAAGCTTACTTGAAAGAACAGAGGAATATTCATAAATACACAGTTCTAGAAACCTAGCCCACCATGAATTTGCCTCATTGTTTTCTTCTGCATTTCTTGTCATAAAATATTCTTGAGACTTAGGAGAAGGAGAGCTATGGCTAGTTGTTAATTCTGGTGGATGGATTCTGATCCCTTCCTGAATGGCATAGTGATTACAGGAGGAAAGGTGTATCCAAACTTAGAGCTGCAGCAAGGTTCACCTGGCTTCTACGATTAAATGTTTGCATAACACTTCATACAGAGGCTTTTATAAAGCAGATTAAGCACTACTGTAACACTGGTGGTTTTGCATCAGAAACCTGAGTTGTCAAAGAGTCTGGGAGACTTCCTGTTGTGCTGAGCAATATCCCTGCATACCCTTTCAGGAAGCTGATGGACCCTAAGGCCTTTAGCAGTCTCTAATGTCCCTTATTTCTTCCTTTCAACTTGCATTAAATGAATCTGGACACAATGGAGTTTATGATGTTAAACTAGTTACCTACAGCTGATGAGCTCCAGGAAAAGCTAAACAAGCTCTGTTCTGTTTTACAGTTATGAAAATTAAGGACTGATCCTGAAGTACTGTAACAACATCAAAACAATCACTTGTCATTTGAGTGCTCCTTTAGAAGTTTTCTTCTGAAGAGTTCTCACACCTGGGTGTATGATACTGCATTTGCTGCAAGCATCTTAGGAAAGCATTGCATTTTTGATTAAATTAAAATCGTAGTTAACAAGGCTAAAGGCTGAAACATGATGTAGCAATAGAGAAAAGGTAATTTAGCAGTCACCCCAAAATATGCCAGACTCTTACTTTCAAAATCCCATTTCATGTTCTGTATTTTTCCCTTTTAAATGGGAACAAATGGTTTGCTCAGCTATCAGCTTCATTATTATTAACTTCAGCTGTTAGTTTTGGTATCTATGTGTGTGTCTTAGTGTGTGCAACATGCCTCTAGGTGACACTCAGGATAATTGACTGAAGGAAACCTTGTTCTTCTATCCAGTTGCTCCTGAAACAGACTACATGGTTCAGTGGCTGGTTCCTGGGCTGTCTATATAAACCTCTACCAGAGCTGATCTATAAAAGAAGGAAGTAGAAACAGACAAGCAACATTCATGAATAAGAAATAATAAGCAGAATTCATCAATAATATAGTTCTACAAACCAGTGTAGCAGTGTCCAGAAAATAAAAGTGATTGCATGTCTTTTTGTGGATTTTGGATAAAGGTGTCCAAAAGAAAGGTGGGGGGGATTAGATGGGGAAGAGAAGTCAAAGACTTTCCTATTAGAGGTGTCTCTAAAAACAGTTTTCTCCCTAAGTTAATTGATTTTTCACTCAAGACACCATTCAGAATGCTCAGAGACAGCAAGCTTTACAGTTTGGGTGGTGGTGTCTTCAGTTCTTGTTGATATCTTTGCAAATAAACATTTCGCCTGTAAATAAATATATAATGTAAATATGAACAAAGAATTATGACTGACTTAAACTAAAATAGGAGATCTTGGTTATTCTACCTGAAGGTGAAAATTCATAAATCATCTTGTGATTGAAAATCCTTTTGCAGGCTGCAAAAATCTTGAAAACACTTCAAACAAAATTTGAGGGTCTTGTATTGATGTATGAGAATCCTTCTATTCAGCAAAAAGCACTGGCTGCAATTCCCCTCCAGGAATTGAAAAGCAAAGCTCAGAAAAAGCTAGCACAAGCTACGAGACTGGACAAAGGTAATGCTGCCAAGTTAAAGTGTATATGAAAGTGGAAATGTTCTTTCAAACATAGCACACATTGTTGGTGTGTGTTTGGTCATATGTCTGCAGGTTCCAACTGCTGTTTCTAAATTAGAATTGCCTTCTTCCTAATTTACTGCTTACTTCTCTTATTTTTATTTTGCTTTTGTCATCCATCTTTGACGGCTTTTATGTTGAAATTTTGGACTCTTAATTTCTGAATTAGTAGAAAAAAACACTGGGGAAACAAATGTTGCATTCCTTGAATCTCAAAAGAAATAGCTACAAGAAGAGGAGGGGAGCTTCTTGTTCAAGTAGTCATTGTTATGAAATTCTCAGAGTGCAGTTTAATGTATGTCCTACAGTTCTAAATTCAGATATATAAATTTTAAATACCACATCTCTTTTTTAACATGATATCGGTGAGATTTTTGAATTAGATCTTTCCAAGATACAACCTGATCCAAACTAATGATCACTTTCCTTCCTAATGCTTAAATGAATAGGGTTATTCCCTATTCCTCATGGAGCTAGATATGAAATGTAGGCATAAATACTTGTGGCATCAGTGTTTAAAATTTATATTTTCTTCATAAATAGGAATTTGTTTTGAATGTATGAAGTTTTTGTCAGTTAAAATGACATATTTCTATTTTCAGGTGATGGTTTTAGATTTGTTTCAGTGGTATGGTGAAATGTTACTTCTGTAGGATAAATATTTTTAAAAATACAATTCCAAGATCATATTTAAACAAAAAAATCTTTTTCACCATGAATCTTTGATAGAAGACTGTTTCAAGCAATTCTGCTAGCTTTATAGGAATGCTGTTGGTTTGCAAACCAAAAATAATCTCTTCACATGTTTTTTATAAATTACTCTGTGGTGTCTCATACAGCTACATGGTAATATGTAATTGTGTCCTTGGAATTAAGGAAATTTTTGACAATGGATTTTCTTACTAATTTTTCTTTTATAAAACTGTGTTGGGAAGTTAGAAACCACGTGAACAAGTAAAAAGCATTCTTATTCAGCAGCATGGGACAATACAGTGGGGAAAAGAGACTTAGCAGTAATAAATTACAACTATTAAATTTCTTTATAAAGGAAAAAAATAAAGAACAAGCCTGCCTCTTAGACTCTAATACTACTGGCACATTGTTTAAAAAGGGGAAGGAAGGGAGAGGATAGTGTCCTGAATGCTTCTCCCCAAACCATCAGGTTGATTTAGTCAAAATGGCTTCCAGACCTTAATTTAGACACAGATAAAGGGGAAGGGATGGAATTCCACTGTTTTGGATTGTGACAGCTTGAAAGCATTTTTCAAGAGCTTTATAGAAACACTTGTTTTGGAATGAACTGTGTATGAGATGTTTGGGTAATTGGCTTTCAGCTTCTTTGGTTTCTGTCCTGCTGTATTAAGACTGTCACCTCTAGGAATAAATACTTAGTGCTAGGCAACACTTGTTTTTAGGATAGGCCTTGCAACACAAAATGAGCATTTTTGGCTCATAAAGACAAGGAAGATAACAGTCATTTGGTGAGAATTACAGCTTTGATTTTATTATTTCCCTTTGCCACATTTCATTAGAAAGATGGACTGAACAGTCAAAAATAGCTGTGTCTCACAGCCAACTGTTTTCTGTTCAAATAAATCGCATTTGTCATTTTTCCATGTGATGTTTTAATGAAGGATTTATTTTGCAAATCAAGGGAAGAATGTTTATAGCGTAGCAGTCATATTTTCACAGATAGGTTCTAGTTTTTGAATGTTGTTATCCAGGAAAAGAGAGTATGGCCTGTGCTAGAAATCTTCTCATTCAGCTTTTAGCAAAAAGTTTGAATGTACAAGCATATCCATGCTGTAAGCAGTGAACCTTTCTCTGAGTGTTGAGGCACAAAGGTTTTCCACATACATGAGTAAAAATGGAAATTTTGCTATAATTAGAAGTCAGGTATTTTTGCTTTGATTAACAGGTGATCTCTTCCCATGCACTTCATGATCTTGGCAATGTGTGTTTAATGGCATTAGTGCTCCTACAGAGCCTTTTGTACCAAGGATGGCTACAGCTTCAGAGCAAGATGTGAAATGAGCTTAAACACTCATCTTAGGGGTTTTTTCACCATCCTGAAAAAGTGCATAAATTTTTAGTTCAACTGCCTTCAATTTCCTTTTAGCAGCATTTTTACAAATTTATTTTATATGTTAATATTCATTAGTCAAACCTGTCTGTATTGTGACTAGAATAAAGCTGTAGTGCATAAAAATAATCAGGCAGTAATACCTATGATTGCAGTGTGGCCTAGGTGATAAAGTTATTAGGAAGAATTATTTGAATATTTATGTGTCTGAGAAGGAAGAGTATCTCTCTGCACATTGTAACAGGATGTGCATTTAAAGATTCTTAGAAGTTTAAGCGAATGGATCTTTCTTGAAAAGCTGGATTTTTAGATTTGTTTTTTAGGTAAAATTGGGCTATTTCCAGGTGTCAGAGCAGTGAGAATATGTAAGTAGATTCTTACTCCTGATGTAAGCAGGAAAATGAGCCAGAAGAGTCTGGTGTGGTGAAATCAGCTAGAGTAGAAAACAAAAGACATCCTGTGTCTGCCTTGGGTAAGCTGAGAAAGGTGTTTATTTGCTGAAATTAGAACAAACTCAACATGTTTGCATGGTATATACATATTTTCTACAATAATTAGGCTGTGTTTGTAGAAGGTCTGTTTATAGAAAGCCTGTACACCTGGTTGTTTAGATTGTTGCCAGTGTCTGGTTCTTTGGTATGTTGAAATCAAAGCAATTGTTATTCCTATGAATATTTTGAAAATATTTTGGAGAGAAATATAATTAACTCTGTGTTCCAAAGTCCTGGAAGAGTATGAAGGGCATCAGGAGCTTCACAAGGCTGAAATGTAAATCTGACTCATTTTTCTGAGCAATTTCTTATTCTCATTCTAGCTGTAGTATTAAGTACTGCAGTTTTTTGTTCTTAAGTTTGAACTTACTCAGTCTTGACAATTTAGATTTTCTTTTTTGTATGTGTTTAAGTAATATACAAAGCTTTTTAATGTGGATTTTATATTTTAAAGTATATAAAAATATATAAAGGCCCAGAGATGCGAATTTGCATAGGCACTGTCAAGTTCAAGTAAATTACTTTTCCATTTGAACTAACTGTGTGTTGTATAAATTTTACAGGTGCACATGTGAGTGAAGAGGACTTCTTATTGTTGGAGCTTTTGGACTGGTTTAAGACTTCCTTTTTTCATTGGGTAAATAGTCTTCCTTGCAGCAGGTGTGGTGGGCAGACAGAGCCTAAAAGTGGCTACCTGTTGCCTACTGATGATGATTTAAGGTGGGATGCCAGACGAGTGGAAAACCATTTCTGCAACCAGTGTCAGCTCTGTAATAGATTCCCAAGGTGAGCATACACAAACTTGCTGTCTTTTTTCTTTCAAGAAACAGCTTTGTATTTGTCCATTTTGTGAACAGGTGAGAAGTTGTTCATTCAGAGAGTAGAGAAGCTGTTTTAAGTAACATGATAGAATGTTTGATGAACCAGCAATTTCTCTGCAAGATCAGAGATTTTTAAAAACAATATGTGCTTTCTCTTATGTGGACTTGTTCTGAATACTTGCCTGTTTGGGGTTTTTTTAATGTTAATTTGATGAACTACAGCTTCTAAATAAAATATGTTAATATTGGCAACTATATGTAGGTAGTGTTTTGTTATTGCAGGGAAAACTTCACTTCTGCTGGAAATCAGAGTGTAATGTACATCTTGCTGAGTCTATAGCAGAAGAGCAAATATACAATTTATTTATACTTTTGTGGCATTTAGACATTTTTCTAACTGTTTGAAGAATCAGCATAAAAGTAATATTTTAAGATGTCTAAATCAATTTTGAAAACTTAACCAGATTTGTTTTGACACTGCTATAAATGTACGATGGAGTGATGTGAGTTGAGGTAGCATTCTGTTCAGATGTATTTTGTGCAGTATAGCAATTATTTTCATTATCTTCTGTGGACTGATTGATACTGAAGTCTGTTCAGATCATCAGAACATGATGTAAAGATTTCTGAAAGGTGAAATGTATTTTTAATTGTTCTTGTTTTGTGTTGTTTTTGTCCTGTAGGTATAACAACCCTGAAAAACTTCTGGAAACCAGACGTGGACGCTGTGGCGAGTGGGCCAACTGTTTTACACTGTGCTGCAGAGCTGTAGGGTTTGAAGCAAGATACGTCTGGGACCATACAGGTATCAGTATTCTGGAGTATTGTAACATTAAAACAAACCTGTGCAAAAGCAGGTTATGCATTTTATGTCTCTCAGATCATCAGGCAGCGTGTGCAGTTACACAGTCAGCTAACAAAGACAATATACGTTCAATTTCTTGTCCTGCCTGATGAGGTGAAATACAGTTCTGCAAGTAAGGTCAGATGATGATTTCAGAATGATACAATCTTCAGCTGAATGTAAGGGACTGATCCTAAGAAAAAGGAAGTTTTGATAGTTTCTATATGTAGATGAACAAAAAACATGTTCTTTCACCTGTTCATTTAATAAATTGGAAAAAGTTACAATATTCTGCAAGATTAGAATAGAGGCTTTATCTTTATAAGTCATTGTTTATTCTTGGCCTTTTTTACGTAGATCATGTGTGGACCGAAGTATATTCTTCATCTCAGAAAAGATGGCTTCACTGTGATCCTTGTGAAAATGTCTGTGATAAGCCTCTTCTCTATGAAGCTGGCTGGGGAAAGAAGCTCTCCTACATAATTGCATTCTCCAAAGATGAGGTAGGAGTAATGATGCTAATAATAAACAAACTTGCCCTAAGCAAGCGTGCAGTGTATTCCACCTTGGTGTGATTTTCAGAATTATTGCAGAAAAGCGTACTTTTATTAACTAACCTCTTTAAATGAAGCAAGATATATGGAAATTTTTGGTTGCTTTATTTTCTTCCACTTGTGCTTGAGGTGGTTGATGTCACCTGGAGATACAGCAGTAAACATGAAGAAGTACTCTCTAGAAGGACAGCGCTCAGTGAAGCTATGCTGCGAGAGACAATTAATGCACTAAATAGAACGGTATGTAACTTTGCTTCAGTGGGTTTCTGAGAGTGAAACACAAGTATCTGCAGAAATCTGTGAGGTCCTCAAACTTCACAGATTTTTTGAATCTTGAATGCATTTGGTAGCCTCACAGGAATATCCATGCACTACAGATATAAAAAATGCTGTTAATTACTCATTTTACCCTGAATACATAGGAGTCAGTTGCAGTGCTATACTTGTGGGAAATAGACTCTTACATACCATTATTTATCATATTATCTCTTACATACACAGATGTATGTGTATATATATTGTTTTTCTGAGGGACTTTGAAGCAGACTTACACTTGCTGGGAGTAAACTGCAGCTCCTTAATAACTACCTGGACTCCTTCAGGGTGACTGAATGTTTTCCACATCAGGGCTGCTATAACTTTAAAACAGTAGCATTACAGTTGTAAGAAATGCGGATTTAATTTGCTTTCAATGACTTTTTACAAGCTCTAGGAAAGGAGAGGAATGATTCATGGGCTGTTTCCAAGACTTCCAAAAAGTGTTGATACCATCAGCAGAGCTTTGACTCAGAGCCATGTGTATTTACACTGTTCCTGCTTAACATGCCCAAAATGCATGGAGCCATTTGCACCTGCATGTCATGGTTGCAGAACTTCTCTGCTAAGCTTTTTCCACTCCCTAGTTGGGACACCAGGAACTTGATTCGATATACTAGAATACCATAAAACCTTTAACCACCTTGAGGTTTCCATTTTGTCCTCCTTTCCTTACAGGCCATGCATGGAAACTTTAGTTCCAGTGGTAGTATGCAGCTGATGACTTAAAGAACAGATTATGCCTTTTTTGAGGCCTGCTGGCTTGAGAGTTATAGCCATACATTAAGACTGTGAATAATTGAGCTGGACTAATATTTTGAGACCAGGGCTTGAAATAATTTTAACAGTAATGAAAAATTAGAGTCACGGAGCAGAGCACTGAGAAGAGTAACCAGAGCATCAAAATGCCTAAAGGAAATTGTGGATTGGTGTTGTTAATTTAGGATAAACCATATCAAGCTTCCTCTGAGCTGGATCAAGATCAGCTGGGCTGCATAGGAATATCCTAAGTGTCAGGGCAGCTGTTAGACTCAGGAAGGCCTGATATTTCATGGAAAACTGCTGCAACCACTGGTTGTCATCCATCAACACAAGTAGAGGTGTGTTTCCCCCCCTTGCTGTATTAGAACTGGTATTTGGCATCTGGAATTTGTTCAGCTGGAGCTGTTTCTCATAATTTCTCTGTATCTACTTTCCTTTATACAGTTCCACCTTGTTGTCTGGAACAGAAATGTCTTCAAATGTTTCTTTTGTGTAATCTCTATTAGCAAAACTTGCTGGGGTCAGAACTACTTTTGAGATAATTTAAATGCTTATCAGCCTCAAGTTTCAGGTCCCAGTGGGATGAGTGTGCATGCCTTGGGTGATCACCAAAGCAGAAAAAAAGATGATTTGTGTAATAATGTATATGCTCAATGTTGAACTTTTTTCAGCCCCATGTGAGTTTATCCACAGTTAAAAGAATGAAAGGCTTCACATTCCAGATTTGTATATTTGACATGAAGATCATGTAGACAAAACACTAACATCTCAATAAAATTTTTCGAAGTTGTTTACCAAAAAATTGCTCATAGTTCTATCCATGTAGGTAAAGACATGTAATTCTCTTTTATTTTTCACTAATCTTTCTGGAACTAAGTTTTTCTTGATTTTCTGACATCTGAAAACAGAGATGTCATGGTTTGTTTATGACCAATTCAGTGAAATAATGCTTTCAAAGATTTTTGTTTGGGCTTAATCACAAAACCAAAACTGTTGCCAACCAAGTCACTGCACCTTAGAGAAGAAAAATTTGACCACAAATGATTCTTGCCTTGTCTTTCCTCCAAATAATATTGAGAATGGCTATGGTACAGTATACATATGAATAGCTATGAAAACTGTTATGGAAGAGTTTTATCATCCAAATAAATGTATTAAAGAGAAAGCACAAACATTATTTTAAAAGAATCCCACACAGTGCCTGAAAGTTCCTAGAGAAAACACTGCTGTCACATAACTGTGTGCTTATGACTAGTTTGTATTTGTATTTGTGGTGTAAGATTAATGGCTCTAAAAATTAGTCTAGACTTTAAAATGTTAATCCATTTTTTCCAACTCTGTTTTTCCCTGTTGGTGTCACTCTAGAGCAGAATTACCAATACCATTTTTTCTGAATGCTATCTTTTTTCCTAAATGTCTTTTTTCAGAGACAAAAGTCTTTGTCAGAAAATAGAAAAAGAGAGCTCCTGGAAAGGACTATTGTGGAGCTTGTTGAGTTTATTTCTCCTAAAACACCTAAACCCGGAGAGTATGGTGGAAGAACATCAGGCTCAATGGCTTGGCGAGTAGCCAGAGGTGAAATTGGTTCAGAGGTATTTAACTTTTGCACTGATGACCATCTTAGAGGTAGCTAACTAAGACTCTGTGATTATGATCTGTAAAAAAACAAACAAAAAAACCCCGCACCAAAAACAAAACCAAAAAAACTTCATGGTAGATAGCCAGATTCAGCTCAAATAAGTGAATCTTGCAAAAACATTAGGTGAAAGTTTGATGTGAATTCAGTAGAGGTCAAGTAATTTTTGAGAATTGATGGTGGTCTATTGATTCTAATAATGTTTGTGACTCCTTGTTATAAAGTATTTTGGTCTTAGAAGTTAAAAATACTTCTTTCATTTAAGTTAGTTAGTTTGACAGAACTAGAAAGTTTAATTTAGTTGAAAGAAATTGGGGAAAGTGTAAAAAATTTTTGTATTTGTACTATTAGTTACTTCCAAGTTTTAACCAATAGTAGGTTTTGACCAACTATTTTTGTTAATAGAATGTGGGAGCAATTAGAATTGTGTGTGAATTAAGCAATCTCTTAATAAGCTTTATTGATTTTCACATCAGTATTTTTTCACTGTTTCCAAAAGCAAGGCTTGACCTTTATGCTAAGATACAGTTTCCCAGAACCATAATAATATTTAGCTTCAGTCAGGATGCAAAGATGTGGCCTCAATTTTGTAGCAATCCCATCATGTGGAATATCTAACTGTCCTGAACAGGAACAGTTAAGTGAAAGTAATGAGCTTCTTGTCTTAGTTTGAGAAACTAATAGTTTATTGCAGTTCTGTGTTGCTTGGAAGGCTTAATTTCTGAAACTCATAAGAAAAATTACTTAAAAAAATATAATACTTGAAGTTAAAAAATTTGTACTTTTAAGTTTTTTGAAGTTGATTTGTAAACTGGCATACATAAGCACCTGTATATGGTAGTCACAGGTTTGCTATTCAGAATAACCATTTACTTATTCACTGTACAAGCAGTGTACTCAGCATAAAAATTTTCTGTTCTGAAACTCTCATTTCTTACTTAGATGATACTACTTCTTGTTAGTTTGTTGAAAAATTACTTCTAAAAGTAATTATTTGAAAATTTAAAAAAATATACTTAGATGATACTACTTCTTGCTAGTTTGTTGAACAATTACTTCTAAAAGTAATTATTTGAAAATTTAAAAAAATAAAATTACTCCTTCGCTCTGGAAAAGTTGCAAGTGTGCTGTAAGAAACTGGTTTAAAACTTTTCTTCTGCAGAAATGGTTTTGTACATGACCTCTCTTAAAAATGACCTTTTTTTTTTTTTCCCTTGGCAGCAAAACTGAATTGCAAAACCATGACATACTGTTTAAAAGTAATGTAGTCTTGAGGGAATTTAGGCATTGGGGAATGAAGGTGCTTGTATGTTTTTGCTTTTTCAGAAAAGAAAAGAAGTAGTTTTTATTCCCTCTGAAAAGGAGAAGACATCTAAACTGTTTCATCTTGTCTACAATGTAGTAGATGATAGTTATACACGGATTTCCAATAACAATGAAAAAATAAGTGGCTGGGAAGCAGGTGTTTGGAAGGCAGAATCTGTTTGGAGAAAGGTTGAAACAGATTGGAAAATGGTAAGAATAGCAATTATTAAAAGCCTATAATGTACAGTAAAATTATGATAACTCCAGTAAAACAGAAAACCCTTGCCAATGTTTGGATTCAAAACCTCTCTTGGTGCCCACAGAATTTAGCAGATGTTAGTAAATGCTGTTGTTAAGATTCAGTAAGATTGCCAGATGGTACGGGAAATTAGAAATAAATTTAACTTGTCTTTCAGAAAGGATGATTGAATTCTCTGCAGGTAGGCAAAATCCTTGCCAGAATGCCAAATTTATAAAATGGCTTCCTTCTTAGGCTTGTGGAAAAATGCTGTTTTATTGAAAAGCAGTACTTATCTGGAAATAAAAAAAGGTATTTGTTGTTTTAAGAATAGTTTTATAGCGTATCATATCTCTTTGATGTACAGCCAAAGGAAGAAATTGCCATCCTAAATAATACAATTCCACCTGCAAGAAGAGAAAAACCTATCAGTTATCCAGAATATTGTATACCCTGCCCAGAGTCCTTCCATAGTGTCAGGACTGAGCAGCACAAGAGTCATAGGCTCTAAATCTAAGAAGAGAATTGCTACCTGTGGAGTGGGAAGGGGCCATGTACTAGCAAACAGCTTTTGCCACAACAGCTACCAACTGTGGAACTGAGCATTCTTGTCAGGGACTAGAGCATGTTAGTGCTTTTTTCCTCTGTCATTTTACTAGTTTGAAGGGTCTCTGACCAAATATTCTTCTAGCTTCCCATTGATAAAAATGGAGCTAAGTATGTATCTGCCTCTTGAGATTTTCTCTCCTGGGTCTGTACATAACTGACTTGCAAAATGCAGTGGGGGAATCACTTGAAGAGGCTATGCTGCCCTAAAGAGACAGAATAAGGAAGAAATGGGAGAATTGTACAAAAGATGTCACAACAGGGCAGACTTAATAGTAAAAGAGAAGTAACAGAATCTCAGAGTAAGAAACAGATGTTGTCTGCTTCTCCAGGATCTGCTAAAAATTTGATAGTACATTATGTTTGCACTTCTGCAATGATCAGTTATCCTCACTTTTGCAAGAAACATGTCCCTGCACTGAAAATAAACTACAATTTTTCTCAGCTCTACTAATCAGATAAGACAGGGTGGGACTAATCTATAAGACCAGGCAAAAAGACTTTACCCTTGTATTCAGTAACACCTCAAAAGGATGAGATGATGGCATTGAAAAATTAGGAGCTACGGCTCCAGGTCTCTCTCAGACTTGTGGGTAAGGCATGTTAGTTTTGCAGGAATTTGCATCCTACAAAAAGTGTGTAAGAATCTTAGAATTTAAAATTACTTTCCTTTGGGTGTTGTTTGTATAATGGGAGATAACAGCAGAGGGAAAGGTTATTTGGGGTTTGCCTTTTCTTTTAGTACAAGATGCAGCTTTGGAGTATGATTCAGCAGCCATCCAAGAACTTAAAAGCCAAAGGAACCTTTACAGTAATACTTGGTTAACATTTATTATGTGATGAATGGAAAGGTATTTAAATCTAAAAGCCACAGAAAATGTATCTGTAAGTATTAGATGAAGAGTAACAGAAAATAACCACTTGGTTTTATGGTACACAATGCAAACAGGTACAAACCACAAATTCAGTCACATTACCCAGAGATAACCTGGTATCCAGGACTCAAACTGGCAGACCACAGTAGATGGTAGTAATAGTGTAAGAACCTATAGATCTGAAATCCCTGGATTGGTGAAAGGCTTGTTTTCCAGAAGAATTGCTGCAGTGGAAGAGAATTGAATGAGTTGGTTGGTTGGTTACATTTTTTTCCCTCTGAATTCAGACATTTTTCAAATAATACTAGAAACAAAACAAACAAGTTTGAAAGTTAGAGGAAAGTCAAAAAATACACAAAAGAAAACTAAGTTCTTTTCTTCTGATTAAATGCTTGGATATTATAATGATAGATGAAACAGACTAATGTTTGAGGCTTTTCTAGTGTTCCAAACTGTGTTTAGTGCATTTCAACCAAGTAGTATTTAATGGGGTGTTTTGGCTTCCTTACTCAAATACAGCAGTTCAGTAGGATCTGATCAAGGGAGAGCTCTTGCTAGAACCAGCTGAGATACTCAAAAAAATGTGGAGGTCAGCACCTTAATGAACATTAGGATTACATTGACATGAAAACAGCTTAAATCATTACATTTTCATAGGTGATCTTCAGTGTAAGACCTCACACCTTTCGGGGTTTTGAGCTTACTTCAATGTGAAAATAGTAATACTAAAATTCTGTTTAATAGTCTGTCAATTGCATTTCTATATTAGGGTGGGATCTTAATAAAACACAGTAGTTTGTTTTACTAATAATTTTATTCTGGTTTGTTCTCTCAAGATTAAAAAATAAAGAGCGGACTAAGTCCACTCAGTATGATACTAATCAGAAGCTTTGACATAACAGAATTTTTATTAATTTAGGATCCAAAATGATCACAGTAATTTGGACTCTTTAAACTGTAGTGTCTGTTATTTAGGTTTGCTGATGGTAGATGTTGCGCTTGAAAGAACTGTTAGGCACTTGTGACCAAATTCCTGAGAGGGTTCATAGTAACTTTAATGAATGTTAATATGTGAGCGTGGCTCTTCAGCCAGGTGATGTTCAGGACAGCATTGGGACTAAATTAAATTATACAAAGTTGTAACAGTTCAAATAATGCTAATATGGTATTTATAAATGGTCGGCATGTATGATTTCCATCAGCAATACTGAACAACTGAAGTGATACATGCATTTAAAAAGACCCTGAATTCTTCTTCTTTAAAAAATAATAAGCTTAGGTGTTTTTGTGGCTTGAACTTTAAACTATTTCAACATCCATAGTAGTGTTCCCTAGCAAGGGGCTGTGAATGTGTACAATTACCTAACTGTGGAATATACTTGGGGATGAAGAAAGAGGTTTTTAATATAAAATTGTACTTTGTACAGTTTTAAAGATTCAGGGGCTTGACAAAGAATGAAAGAATTTATCTTAAAATTTTTATGTCCTTGTTATGAGGATTAATTAGATGTGTGTTGGTCATCTCAGTTTTTGACATGCTGGTTGTGTCTTCTTTCCATGTAGGTTTATTTAGCCCGAAAAGAAGGGTCATCCTCTGCTTCCATCAGCTGGAAGTTTGAGTGCAAGTCAGTCGGTCTAAAAATAGATAACATTTCAGTTAGGACAAGCAGTGAAACATTTCATAGTGGAAGAATACAGTGGAGACTTCACTCTCCTACAGCAGAAATTGCTCTGATAGGAGGTAAGTGTGGAATTTAAATAATGAATTATATCGTGTAGCAGAGGTGTTACTGGAAATAAATAGTTTATATGGAGAGAGTACTGTGCAAACACTAAAAAAAAAATATGAATATTCTTTACTTTTCCAACAGCGTTTCTTAGCAAAGTCAAGAAAATACTGTGCATTTAATTAAAGCTGGTACAAAACTCAGTTTTATTAATATACACAGTCCTACTTGCAACAGGGCAGGGCTAGCAAGAACACAGAGTGAACACAAGATACTTGTGTTTTGCTAGGAAGGATAGATGCTTCTATGTCTGGTGGCAAATGAATCTGAGTAGTTGCAACTGAAATCATTAAACATCCATTACAGCTTAGCATTTTTAATGTGCATTCTATTATTATGTACTGTCTGGAGCTGTGGCTTACTGAATTATCTATCTTTTCCTCCAATAGATAAAAATCTTTGCTCCTATTCAGATTTTTCTGGAGCAACGGAAGTTGTGTTGGAAGCGGTTCTGAATGGAGGGGATGGTGAAGCTGCATGGCAACACACACAGCTGTTTAGAGAGAGCTTAACAGGATGTGGGGAAAATTGCTTGGAAATAATTATAAAACTCAGTGACCTCTGAGAATCTGAACTGCAGAAGTGTACTTTGGATTCCTTGAAGAAATTATACCATGGATACAACACGAAGATTTGGTTGGCAATTCCTCTTCATTCTGCTGGCAGATTATTTCCTGTTTCACTGCTTCCATTAAACCAGCTTGAAACGGCACATGTATTGAATAGGTAAACATCACAATGAAAACCTCTTTGCTATAAAAACAAGGACAAAAATTAAGGGATTGAATCATAAAGTACCCTTTTCTTAAACTTTACAATGACAAGGAAACAATTTTTAGGAAGCAAAACATGATCATAGAAGCACAAAGTAATTGTAATTGATTTTAATTTGGAGTTTTGGGATTAGCTTGCTGCTTTTTTTTTGGTTTTTATAATCTGCTTGGGAAAACAGATTGAATTCTGTTTTCCAATTATAACAGATGCTTCTGATGATTTCAAAATATTTTAAACAATATTAGAGGATTTAGACTTTTTTAAAAAATTTTGATTTTGTGTAGTATCCAGAAGTGTTGAAATTAAGTTAATTTCAATATTGCTTCAAAATTTCCTTGTTAGATGTCTAAGTATTAAACCTGTGTTTAATACCTAGAACTATTTGGAAGCATGGTGGTTGCTGGGAAAATAACCTCATTTTGAAAGAAGTGTTCATTATGTACCTGAAATTGTCATGGCCTGTGATATGAAATTGAGGCTTAAAACTGAGTAAGAACATCATATTTTTTTCTATGAAAAAATAGGTTATTCATTATAAATACTTTTTAAATAATATTAATTCGGATTTGCTTAATAAATCTTTTACAAGTTAGGCACGTAGGTTGAAATCCTTTTAAGCTGTTGTCTTGACTTGCTTTAAATACTCTTCCCAAATTTGATGTTAAAGTGTATACTTTTTTTTTCTGTTCAGTTAATTCAGTGTTTACATTTATTTTCAATCAATATAATAAAAAATACTATCCAGGAGACATCAGATGTTGCAGTGCTCTGAATAAAACATGGAGTGAATGTTCAGATTAGATAATCTTTATCAGAATGTGAGGAAGGCCTTGCCTGGATTATACAAGAGATACTCTAATATAGAACTAAAATACAAAGTTCAAACTATGGTTTTATTTTTAAATAAGGGAGAATTAAGGATGATGCTCTCAAGATCAGTGTTTTTAAAGTTTTTCTTCCTTTTTCTGATCTTTCCAACCTCTGTATTGATTTCCAGTGTTTGTCAAAAATAATTTATGTTGAAATAAATGTTTGCTGACCTTTCAACAAATCTAAGCAAATATAAAACTATTCAGATTTTATTAGAAAACTGCATATGCACAGTGAGCAATGGAATCTTAACAAATAGTAGATTATGGCAGCTCAGAAGTGACAGAACAATGTGTGATGGATTATATACTTTAGAATGTAAATGGACAGTTTATGAGGGGAATTAGAAGAGCCTCACCCCTACAATACAGATTAACACAGTGACAGGGTACTTACTATATTGTACACACTGGAAGGGAAGAGTACACACTGGAAGGATGTTTATCAATGCTTGACTAATGCAAAGTGAATTTGCCAGTCTCCATTTAAAACTACTGTATTTGGTTTCAGTTAAACACTTTTTCTGAGATTTTTGAGTGGCAACTCAACAGAAGAGTATTTTAGGCTAATATGGATACTACCTTGGTAGAAAAAAGGAAAAGGAAGACAACTCAGGTGCCACCAGTCAACAAAACTGTTTCTACTTAATATTTTGATAGCTGAAAGAGTTACTGCTTTAAAGCAGAAACTGTTTTTGCAGTGTATTAGAGGGCCTTGGGGAATTGCAGAATTCCTTAACTGCATCTGATAATTTGAAATCAGAAGGCAGAATATATTTAAAAGTAGTAAGATAAATTAATTTTCTCATAATTTTGGTCAGAATCTCTAGGGGAAGAGTGATAGCTGCAGATAACTTAAAACAGTAAAGTAATTGAAGTCCATTTTTAAAAACGTTGAATGAATTAAAAAGTTGGAAAAATTCCTTGCCAGTCTAATTAATGAAGAAGTACTTCTGTATTTATAAGATCACATGCAATGAATAGGAGTGCTTATTTTAGGAAAGAATAAGTAACCCATGCTGAATAGAGCTAATATGAAAAATTTAAATGGAACTTGTTCAGTTGTCTTTTGAAGTACCCTATAAACAATGAACACTTTGAATCTCTTCACACATTGTTTTAAAGGCACTAATTTCCTCTGTTGATCTCCATTTCAGCCCGGCTTTTAATACATTTTAGTTTTATTGGTTTTTTTAACCAGAGGTAATTCCTCATCCACAGTTGTTTAATGTTAACTTACAGTATCCTGAATTTGCAGTATTACATGGTGGAAAGATCTGTGCTGCAATCTGCTCTAAAAGTATGGTTATTAAGTTATGCTGGCAATGGTACAATACTGGGTGAGTGGTAGATGGTGATCAGGGCATGTGTAGATAGAAGTCAGTGCTTACTCAACTTTTTAGAAGTTTGAGGAGGTGGAGATTAAATGGGGTAATTAAAAATACTGTTGCCTAGAAATATATGGCTTAATGCAGGTAAAATCAGCAGTGTTTTCTAGAATCCAGCTTAGTCAGCTACATTTTAAAGAACAACTGGCTGTCCACTGTACCATCCGTGGGTGCCTTCCAGGGTTGCACTGAGGTCTAACAGTGAAATCTTTTCCATTAAAAGTTTACATAAATATTATATTACCCAGTTAATGCTTGCAAACTGATTATGAGGTGCATGGTTTCCAACAGAACTATGTGGCAGCCTGTGCACAGAATTCCTCCTTTCAAACAAGTATTTGTTGCACTGTTGTCTGTCTAGGGTTGATCGTCCAGCTGTTGATTTCTTCATATCCTGTTTTGACATTTAATGCTTAGTAATTTCCTACACCCCAGGAAGTTGCTGGGAAGATGTATCCTTAAAATACATGAAGGAAGCCCCTTCTAGGCAGTGTAGAAGGAAAGAAGAGGTACAGAGCACAGCTATGCAGGAATCAAACAAACTTCAGTGTAAATTATATAACCTACAATGAGAAGTAGTAGTGAAAATTATCTTACCTGGTCTTGTAGGAAAATCTGTCTCCTTAACTTATTTGTTAACATTGGAAGATTTTTCACATATAGCGGGTTGGATTTAAGATATAATCCTTATTATGTGCAACATCAGGAAATGTAGAACACTAAAAATAAAGTGTGTTTGTCTCCATAGTGCAGCGGAATGAAAACAGATGGCAGGCAGCACATATGGCTGCCAGAAGCTGGGAACACCCATTTGCAGAGTTCTTGCAGCTCTAAACAAAACAAGCCAAAACAAAGGAACTCTGAGAGGGGCAGAGATTGTTCCAGGCAGATATCAGGATATCTGCCTCTTCTCCACACCCACAGTCCTCATTTCTTTACCTCTGGTTGCTCAAGCTCAAAATGGAAGCAAACTGCTAGTTAAGAATTTAGTGGACTTCCTAAGTATTTGTCAAAACTTAGCATTTCTTAAGTATAGGCATTATTTAAAAGAAATATCTGGTTTTCATTTTTAGGAAATCAGATATTCCATTCAAGCCTCTAGGTTTGGACAAAGTTGAAGTTTTGCCACTGTTGTCCAAGCAATTCAACAACTTTAAAAATGTGCCAATATTGAAGGGACTTCTTGTGTCTCAGCTTCCTATCATATGGAAGGTTGAGAAGGAAATTGCAGACATGTGCCTTCCTTAAACTCAGTTGCTGGCTTAGGTCCTTTCTATACTTTGAGTATTTTGGGGGAATTTTTTCAGCATTATTTGCAGTAGTTCAGCTTACCTGGTGCTGGTTCGGAAGGTTCTTTACAGGGTACTGCTGTTGCAAGCAATGCTTTATGCCTTGTATCTTATGGCCTTTCTAAATAGTAATCAGCAATGTAATGTATATTATGTGTACCTGTATGATCGCTGGTCATGTAGCTGTCAACATGAGCAGATGGGAAGAGTAATAGCAGTAATACCTGGGACAGTTTTGGGGGTTTTATGCTAATCTTGGATATTTAATCCAAGCAGAAGGACAGTAGAGTAAAAAAAAAGTGTCTTTAGTAGATTGAAAAAAATTTCTTTTTTATTTAAGTTTTAAATTTCAGGAGCAGAATTTTGAGACCTCCCAGCCTATATTATGGAACCTAGGAATGACCAAGTAACAAGTCAAGGTCAAATATATGTATTTTAGGTATACAGGTATTATGAAATGTGTAAAGGCTTAAATATGACCATGAATAAGATAACAATGATTTTCTCCATTGTTAAGATTTTTGTTTTTATTCTTGGGCTTGGGGGCTTTTTTTATGGTAAGCTTTGTAATTAGGCTTTCTCTTTGTTTATGATTAGCCTGCTTCAGTTTCTTCAGCTTTATTTTTTTCTCATCTCACTTAAAATACATTTGAATTTAATTTATGTACACAGTTGCAAATGTATGGTAAATACTAGGACAAAAAATAAGTTGATTTATTTATTTGGTAAAAGGAGATGAAAGGGATAGATTAAAAATATTCAAACTCAGCAGAACAAAAAGCAATAGTAATTAAAATTGATGATGCCCAGAAACCAATAAAGTTACCAGGACTTAATAAAATTTTATGGTGAAAGAAGTGTAATGGACTACATAAACTGATGCTGGCAGAAGTAGCTTCCAATGACTGACCCTGGTTTTGAGACGTTTACTGTGTGTTTATTTATATTTAGATCCCTGAAAGTTTTCAGTAGAAGAAAATTGCTGAGACTAATGAACAGGGGTTTTTTTAATCTGTCTGAGATTTAAGGAATATCTGAGTTTAAATATTTTTTATTTTTAGTAGTTTAAGCTATAGAAATAATTTTAGAATTAAGAACAGGATCCCGCTTGTTACAGATAATTCCTTCCTTTGTTCCAGTGAATAATCTGGATCTTTGATTTTGGAGAAAGTGTGTTTAGTGGCATGTTGTAACCAAGAACTTTAGTCTGCATTACCTGTAAGGATGTGAGATTTCAGTGTGGCATTGAGCACCTGGTTAGCCTTGAAGGACTGAGTCTCCTATTAGAGGTCTTACAGACTGGGGGAAAGATGATTTCGCTATGCATTTCAATGGTGATATTTCATTGTATGTTCTGTTAACTTGATTCTTTTATTACATAATGCTGAGTGTTATTTCGTATCCTTGGAACTTCAGTAATATAGTGTATTATCCTTGAAGTCCCAGGGGAACATATTTTCCCCACTGAAAATCATCGACTAGTAGCTTATCTCTGTTGCAATGAAGAGGAAATGCTGGACTAACTTTAGCTGAGCAGTTTGGATCACAATATACAGACTGCCCTGTGGAACAGTCATAAGGAAACCAGCTGATGTAAGAGAATGAAGACATCTGAGAGCACTGTTTAAGCAAACTCGAGCTAAAGTAGGTGGAACAGTTGGTCACAGTCTCTTAGAGCAAATGGAGCAGCAAAGCACAGAATGGAAGGAGAGAGCCTCACTTCTCCCCTCTGGATTATTAGCACTGTGAAGAGAAGGATGGAAGGTAATGGAATGTATGTGTGTCCGTGCTTGCGTTGTATCAGAAGTCAAAATAACAGTTATGCTGCAGCAGCTTTCACTTTTAGCCAAAGTGCCAGGGAAATGCATGGTGTATTAAAAAGCAAAGTTCACTACTGGCAAAAAGGATATAAAACTTTATTGGCCAAAAAGGAAGTGCCTGGTTTTGGACTGCATTAAGAATTGTGGTGCTGTCCTGGTTTGGTTTAGTATGAAGCATGCCCAAAACTTCTTTTGATTTGTGTTTTCTTTTGTTAGGTTGTGTAGGTTGGAGTTTCTGCCTGAGTATGCTAACTGATTTCCATGATGTTGGCTATAATGATTTAAAAGAAAACAGTCCCATTTCCCCCCTCCCCCTGCCCCAAAAATACGTAAAACAAAACATTCAAAATAAAAAATAAAAAACACCCCCACTAAGGATGTAGGAACACAAACAGGAAGTGTTAGAGGCTGCAGTTTAATTTTAGCACTAGAGGATGGAAAAAAGTTAATATCGCTGATTAATGAATGTCAAATTTTCATCATTTGGGGGATCGTTTAGAAAAGCTGATTGTTTCCTTTTTTTTAATAAACCAAATATTTTTGAAAGAAATTTGTAGCATCGTGGAGCCCTTCAAAACAGAACCTTAGGAAGTTCTTGCTCAAGTGTCAGTACTATGCATGATCTGCCTTTGTAAGTTATATTATTAGTCATATCAGTTCTTCCTCTACACTTCAAAGTCTGATAGAGGTATTTTTAAAATATAAGTCTATTCGATTTTTTTTTAGTAAGGGTGAAACCGTGAAGTTCATATTCAGTGCAACAGACATTTCAATTTTTCTTGACCATGCACTCTAACTAAATGCTCTGCAACTTCATTTTGTAGTTTCATTTCATGTTTTAAGGCTTGATAGTAATTCATATTTGTACACCAGCTTATTGATGGGAACAAAAAAAACCTGAGTGACAGAAAGATGTGAAGAAATGGGCTTTCAGCCAGACACAACGTAAGAGTCACTTTCAGAAAACACAGAGACTTACAGCATTTCTGGCCCACAGAAATAAAATCTGTGATTGGAAACAGACTAAGAAACACTTGCTAGAATACATTTACCTTTTCTACTTTTGATTTTCTTTATTTCACATACAGGACTGATTACCAATCATGTGAGGAAATTCAATCTTTTGTAAGTATTCAGGGAAAAATACAAAGCCCATCTGTGAAAAGAGCATGGAGGCAACATGTATGCCAGTGAAAGAGTGGCTGAAAGATTTTGGATATGGAAAAAAAAATTCATTTTTAAAGAGAATGAGATTTACTGGCATGTGATAACCAATTCAGTGGAAATCAACTAGAACCTATTCTGTTCCAAGGATTGAGTGTTAAATCCATAACTGGGGAATATTATATTGAAAAAGTATGGAAGGGACACTCCAGTCATGTAGTGTTTGTGTGTGGAGCAGGAGTAACTATGAGCAGAACTGGTCAGTGGATTTTGTGTTTAGCCCACATTAGAATGACAAAACCAGGACTAGCACTACATAGTAGCATTACCTATATTAGTGGTGAGATGGAGGGATTCTATAGTGAAACATAAGCAGATGTTTCGCCCATCTTTTGGAAGATTCCTTTGTTTAACATGCAATATCAGCTGTCTCCTGGGGTAACCCTCACTGTTGTCTTCACTCTTAAAAGCCCTTCCAAATTTCCCTTTTTCTAAACTAGTGGTTTTTAATCCTTTGAAGCAGTGTCTGCAGTGGCAATCAAGGCAACTTCCCAGTGCCTCATAGGTAACATCTGGAGGCTTCTGCACCATCCTTGGAATCTGTTCTTTTCTCTCTTCCCTGCTGTATCACAGGCTGGTACCCCAGCCCCATACAACCTCTATGTATTCCCTAGCTTATGACAGCTGCTGTTCCCTCTCTTGTGGACAGCGGGAGAAGCCATGAGGATGACAGTAGCATGGTCTGCTGAGTGAGTTCCTTGAATGTGGTTCTCTACCACAGTCTTCACTGTTGGAAGATTTTGTCTCTTTTATCATTTTATTTCCTACCTGCTTTTTGTGTTGTTTCACCGTGTAGTGTGGCCCCACTCCCCGTGGCACAACTGAAGCCTCAGCCCTTATCATTCTAGGAATGTGACCCTCTCTGGTATCTTCCTTTGTTCCCAGTATTGTTCTGGTTCCCAGCAAGTCTACTGGCCACCAAGGGTAGCCTGCTGCAGGCCTGGTAACAGGCCTTTCTTCTCATTTTGAGACCCACTGTCCTCCAGGAACTTGAGGGGTGGTGTAGGGCCCACATAGCAGGGGAAAGTGAAGCAGCAGCCATTTTAAGGGAAGGGTTTTAGGACCAACACTACAACCTAGTGTTTTGGTATGTCTGTGTATATAATTCAAAAGGGCAATGAGGATCCTAATCAAATTAAATAAGCAGATTTTACTACGTGAAGGAATTGCCATGGAAATTCAAAGCACTGAGTAAATGACTGACTGACTATACATTAAGTTTGCATGCTGTGCTACAAGTATCTGTTGTAAGGCTATGAATGCTGTTATATATTCAATTTAACTCCAGAGAATAACCCAAACAAATGCTGAATTGAGAACAATATTTTTATTTCATGTCTTTTTGAGAGATTAACTATTGTTTTCTATAAATATGCAAGGACCTGTAGGAGTAGAAATGCAAAGCACAGCATTCACCCCATTAACATGTTAATTCATTTGGAAGGAACTGAAAAAGTAGTTTCACCTATTTTATTTGCATGCCCCTGCTAGTCTGTTACAGAACCTGTTAAGCCACCATGCCTGTGGCATAGTTAACAACCCTGGAGGGAGCATCAACATTAGGGATCGTGGGATGTCCCACCATGTACAGCATGGGAAGTAGCATAGGTCAAGGGTGGGATGACAGGCACTGCAATCTTCCTGTTTGTGATACACAGAGGAATGATCATAAATGAGCAGGGCAGAGTGAAGCATGGAGCAGGAGTGGGAGGGAGTGCCATGTTCCACATGTACGCTCCGCTGGGAGAATGTCTGTTGTGCCAGGCAGCTTGGGAGTGCTGTGTGCTGTGCCTGGCTAAGGAGATGTTTGGCTTTGTGAGTAAAAGCAGTCGTGCTGGTTTGGTGAAGCAACTCAGAGCTGAAGCATGTGCCATGGATTATGTGTGAGTGCTGCAGCTTGTGCTACATTCCCATGGGTTGGTTCATGTGCCTGCCTCTATGGCCCATGACTGTCCTCCGTCTTTACTGTAATCAAAGAGCTGGTGTGGCTCAGGCTTTGCTGTACTTCAGCAACAACCATCAGGAAAGAAAGCATTGCTTGCTCTGAATTCTCTTCAATTCTGCACAGCAACTCAAAATTAATACCTTTAATTTCATTGTGTTTTCAGCCTTTATGCCAGTGTGCTCTTTCATCATCATTACTTATGTCCCCGAGTCCAACATATTTTGGGAGAAATTATAGAAAATGAGCAATTGAAAAAACAACAGGTTAGCAAACCAGTGGAATTCTCATGCATGAGAACTAACAAATGACTTTATAATAATCTAACTGTAAGATGTAAAGTAAAAAAGGAGCTTCCATGCTTCTTATCATGAGTCACAAGAGAAATGAACTCAGCAGAAAAATGTCATGTTTCAGTAGCATGTCCAATGTGTCTCAAAGGGTACAGAACATAAAAGAATCTGTAATAATATATCTGTATTTTCCCAAAGAACTAACATTAGTACTGAAAGTAAAGTATTCCAAAGTAAATGGAATTCTTACATGATTAGTGTCAAATAATTTCAAAGTCTGCTAGAAAATACATTGATACATAAACTCCATTTTCTAATTTAAGACAAGTTAGAAAAAGGAAAATGTTGAATGGGATGGAAACTGATACTATGTTGAAATTTCTGGGTAATGTGTATTGCCTTTTCATGGAAACCTGACGAATTCATTGTACTTTTTACCTGGAAATAGAAGAATGTGAGCAGCAGTAAAAACCAAGGTAAAAGGAACCATATTACTTTCAGATAAATTTCAAGAGCTTCAGAGCTTCCCACTCTTCAAAGGCTTTCTGCAATAAAAGTTTCCAGCAGAAGAGCATATGTGGAATAACAAAGCTCAGTAAAAACCAACTAAATGAAAAGGAAGGTGAGTTGTTATTACGGTTCTATAGCATGATGGTAAAACTTTGACATGAGCTTCCTACGAGGCACAGTACAGGAAATGTATTCCCTCTAGCTGTTATCTAGGAAAATGGGGTATCACTAAGTCATTCCTTGCAAAATTATTTTTAAAAAATTAGGAATGTGATTATAGTATAACAGTTAACAGATCTGTTGCAAAAATAGATATGCTGCCTTTTTTGACACTTAGGTCTGTAGTAAGATAAAATATCCAGTACCTTTTCTTTGCTTCATTGTTTGCAAGAAATGAAGGAATATTGTAAAAAACTGCATTGATGAAAAACATTTTTCTTTAATGTTCTGCAAGTTAAATCCACAGTAGATTTCAAAAAGAAATATATAAAATAATGAGGACTACAGCATCCATATTGTTTAGGTTAAAAGCCCCCACAGGTATATGTATATCAAAGCAAGTTACTTTTAACACATCCTGTAGATAAAAAATTTTTTTCTAGAACATTAAAGTGAATTCACAAATTACTAAAGCATATATATTCAAAATCATTCAAAAGACTGTTTTCCTTCTTCACAGGTGACAGCCAGGAATCCTAAATCAAAGAAATGCTGTGAAGAGGATGCAGCTTTCTGAGGTGCTTAGAAATGGAAAGATGCTTTTGGAAACCATGCTGGACTGAAGACCTAGACTGAGATTCCCAGATTCTAATAAAAATATGGCATAGCAAAGTGCTGGCTAAATGATGCCTAAGCAGTCAAACACATTGTCCTGGCCAGTACTGAAAGCTGTTGCTACTGTGACTTCTGCTACCTCTACCAGCAGTGGCTACGCTCATAGTGAGCAAGAGGCATATAACAACCACTGATCTGGATGATTTTACTTCATGTGAAAACTGAGGTAACGTGTTCTTACATTTCTCTAAGAAAAACAGGAGTGCACTAAGGAGCAGGAAGTATCTGCAGAGCTGATTGGAGCAATGTAAGGTATGTAGTAGAAAGAGAATTTAAGCAGTGTTAGTTGGCTAAAAATAGAACAGAAGACCATAACCTAAACATAAAATTATATTTAATGTGTTGCATTTGGTGCTTTATTTATCCATTCTCCTAGCAAATACAGCAAGACTAAAATGCTAAGCCAGAAATATCACTATTGAAAAAAATCATGGAGGACAGCTGCATGGTACTGGGTATTCAAGACCCAGAAATACCAATGCGTTAAAAGATCTAAAGGGATAACAAAAGATTTTTTCATGAATTTCTGATCACCTTTGCTTAATAATAATAACAACACCTAAGGAAAATAGAAAAGTGCATGAAGCAGCTAGCAGTGACCATTTTAAAATACTGCCTGCCCAATCACCCAAGCTGTTGAATTACACAACTCCTACTGAAATAAATAGGAATGCTGCTGCTGAGCCTTGTTATAAATGAGGCCACCTGATAAATTGTTGAATAGCTGATCTATAACAAGTAATTGTTAGGGAGTTGTGAATTCAGATAATGTTTATTGTTAAGTGGGTGGCTGAGTCTTGGCCACATTTTACCTGTTTTGCTATACCCTTTATTTTGTTAGTTGAAGCATACATCTTATTTTTGTAATTACTTTCTCAAAGACTTCTGAAAAATTAATTCTCAAAAGGCTTAGAATAGTCTGATGACATAAGTAATCTGAAATAATGCATTTAAGCAAAGAGAATTATTAGTGAACAGGTTACTGGAAAGAATAACAACTTAAGTCATCTAGAAAAGAATACTGACAAAAGAGTATTATTGTATAAGCTTCCTTTTCTAAACTGCCTTGTAATTCTCAGAAGAACATGGTGAGCGCATTCCCTGTGCTGTGGGCTATAAAAGAGTAATTCAGATTTTAGGCCATTTAGTACCAAATCAAAACCACTATGATCTAGTAATTCAAAGCGTTACGTCAGTCTAAACTCAAGCTGCCAGTACAAATTTACTCTAAGGGTTTGTTGGATAGGTATGTGCAAACTCTCTGTCTGTGGTTCTGCTATTCTGTGGCTGACTGGACATTTCATAGTGACCCCTTTTCTTTTGGTTAGTTACTACTTCTTGTCTTCCCCACTTTCTGTGCTCAGGTGTATCATTTGCACCTACTGGGGTAGGTGTCCCTACCCTAGTCCTCTTTCAGAATGATCTTCACAGGTCATTCACCCAACTCTTCTGTTGCTCTTTGCCTCAGACATTCATTTGTTCAAGTATTCCAAAACTTGTGGCCTCCTTCTCTTTTTGCATTTGACCTTAGCATAAACTATGTGGGTGCACCGGCCACGCTTCAATTACATGTTCTGCCTTGGTGGAGATTGAGCCATCTGCCTCTCTTAGGTCTTTCTTGAGACTTTTCTCTTTTTGGGTTACCACAAGAACCACACAACTCCCTTCTGAGAAAGAGAATGGAAATGCACACCCTGACCTAGTCATCATTGAGTCTAGTCAAAATTGGTGATACTATGAAGCTGTGCAGAAAAGCTTGCCCTTTCTATTTCCTCCTCATAATAAGTCAAAACATGTGTCAGAGGTGGTTGAATTTTAGCTCAAGAAAGCAAAGTACCATCTCTAGACATTTCTTCTGGGCTTCTCTGCTATCTACATCACTCATCACTTTTCCCCGTAGATTCAACATATCCACATGTGCCTTGTATAGAAAAAACTCCTTCACCTTTCTGTCATTCCAGGAATGACTAGACATGACCTTCTGCTATTAGGAAGCAGTCTTGATACTCACTCAAAATCTATAATGGATTTCTGGCTGGGATACTGGAGAAATACACTAGTAATGGATACCTTCAATGAGCCAGAAGAGTCTTGCTGGGTAAAAATGAATTGCCACCCACATATTCTTGCCCAAACTATCTTGTTGGGGTGAACTGCTAGGAAAAAACTTGCATTTTTTTAGTCAAAAGAAAATTCTGCTTTGGAAAGAGAGAGCTCCTTTACAGAGGGGCTGGGATAGAGGGACACTAAGAAAGGAATATGTGGCTAACATCAGAAAAGCTTCTGAAGGAAAGCCTAGCATGCTTTGCAGTATGCATCACCCTGAGCTCAAGGGAGTGCCTTTCTGAATGGCATGGCATGCCCAAACCTTGCTGGCTGTTTATGTTCTCCACACTGATTACCAATGCCATAATGCAGTTGGTGATTCCAGCCTCCAAATCACAGCAATCTCCTCTCAGCTCACACACCTCTCAACTGCTGAAATGGCCACTGCTATCTCAAGTACGTTCAGCACAGACCTCAAAATACATCACCTTCTTCATTCTGTGGTTTTTTTCCATTGTTTTTGTCCCTCCAGGCATTTGCATCTTTTCCAACTGCCACCAACTTTTCCAAAAGCCTCAGTGTTAATAGCATGGATAGTAATTCTACTCATCTTGAGAATTCCTCCCAGTATGGCCAGCTCAGCTTCCCCTGCTTCACCTCTGCATGCAACTTCTCTTGCTGTATGTAGTCACTGCACAAGGGAGCTTTGTCCTGTACAAGGAATTTTGATACAAATATATTTAATTTCTATGACCAGCCTTTGCTGAAGCAACAGCTTTGTTTAGGCTGCTCAGTGAAAGTGTGTCACAATTTAAGACTAAGCTGACAGTGAGGAGACTGGGTGGGCTTGGATACTAAAGCTCTTCTAGTCACAGATAAATATTTAAAGTTTACAAGTGACTCAACTTCCCTGTTCTGTGTGAGAGAGTGCAGCTCAGGCGAGAGGCCAAGCATGTCAGTGTGATGGTCTCTAACCCAGCCTGCCTCTCCTGCAGCAGGGAGGTGGTGCCATCCAGGAGGAGCTCAGCTGGGCCAGTGCAGCAGTCCCAGCCATGCAATGGGCAGTCCAGGATGGAGCCCAGGGGTCCTTGGAGCTAACCCTGGGGATTCTGCTGGACCTCCTCCCCAGCAACAACCTGGCAGTAGCATTCACAGCATGCCCCACTTGAGTTTTCCACACCTCTGCCAACAACACAGCACTTAACAGGTTAGTCACCAGAGGAAGAATTGGAGGGTAAACAGGGTTTAAGCTGTCCAAACCCTCTGTCAAACTGTCACAAGTGGGACATTGTTTCTGGAGGATTAAGATGGAAATGACCTGATGTTTTTCAAGATACTGGTTGTGGAACAGTCTGGCCCCAGGAACACCTACTAACAAAAGTGCCATGGATACATCAGGTGTGTCAGTCCTGGGCACAGTTCAGCTGAGAGTGTCGGGCAGTGCGTTGACAATGCACACCCACAGAAAACCACTAGTGTGGCCTCTTGCTAATTCAACAAAGGTGTTTGAGATACAATTGTGTAAGAACATATGACCTGGCTAAATTTATATCGTTAGGTGATCCAGCCATGGGTAGACTTCTCTTAAATATTTTGGAACTGTGGCCTGAAGGTCATTCACAATCAACACAGTACAAGTATGTGGTCACTCTCATATTGTACTGTCACAACCCTACTCAATAATTTGGTCAATTATTTCAAAATTATGTTAATGAATTATAATGAAATTAAAAATGCAGTAGAATATGGAAATTATTTTATTGTGAGTGTAGATATTTAATATTAAAATATGCAATGTTTGTTTATACCTCATTACAACTATATACAATGTGGAATGTATAATGTAATGGGCATCAACTTAGTTTCATAAATATTTTAGCACAAAATTATGCTTTTTCCTGTGTAGTTTGCAGAAAAAGGAGAGCTGTGGTCGGTTGTTTAAGTAAGTGCTTGTATGTGAGTATGTTCACAGATTAGATAAATGTACATAGTTTCACAAATAGTCACATTTTAGGCCCTTTAAATCTGAGTCCAGAAAAGCCATATCGAAAGAAAAGGTTTTATTAGATAGTAGTAAACTAGAAGCAGCAAATAACTTAGAATAGATGGGAAGTTTGTACATACCAAGTATAGAAATGCTTAAAGATCATACTTACAGCTGTCTTACTGCTAAAGTGATTGAACGCAAAGTAGTATTACAATAAATATTTTGCTTACTAAAAGCAGTAGTGAAACTGGTTTAAGTAGATCATTGTTTTGAAAGCCTTGAGGGTACTTCTATTTATGTTATGGTGCACAACTATGAGGACAAGTAAATCTCCAATGAATTGAAATAGGACTTTGTGTGCACTATCTCAAGGGGATTATTCATTTAAAATGTCACACAGTAAGTGTGAAGTATTTGACAGAAACTGGTAGTGCATGATTCGGGCAGGTTGCATCCAGTAAAGTAATTCCACTCCTATCAAAATGTTATGGCACTTGAATTTGATTCATGCTCAAATCTACTTCTATGTTTGTTTTAACAGGGATCTCTTAAAATGTGATGAGCAATCTCATTTCACTGCTTCACCTCTGCAGCCCACAGAAGCAACTGCTTTTAGTCTCTTGAGAACTTTGTCCCACAATCCTACATGACTAGCAATGCAACCACTCAGCATACACATGTAAGTATTAGGGATAAAACCAACATCAACAATAAGCCAGTAACATGCTGTGCAGCTAATGTAGCATAGGATGAGAATTAAATAAAATCCAACCTGGACGAAGTAATTTCAAAGACTAAAGAAAATGCTTGAGGGAACATCAGCATTTCCTCATAAATCTGCTCCAGTGTGACACAGACTGAACATGTCTGACCATGCACGTTGAAAGACCAGTAATTGCCAAGAAGAAACTCCCACTGTCTCTCTCTAATGTATATGGAATTGGCTGCCTTCAAGTTAGATTGCTATCTTCTGCTTGGCTCACATTGCAAAAGACACACTTCCCACACTAAGGACAATGTATTTACTAAACAACTGGAGCTCATGAAAACATAGTACACTAATGTTTGGGACTTGCTCTTTTTCTGCTCATTACAGTAATGGTCCTCCACCGATGTAAAAAGCTTTGAACAGATGCACTCTTGTTTTCACTGATCCACACAATATTCATTGCAGCAGTTTGCTGTTCATGATTCATTTTAACGGGTCCTACATATAAATTTGAGACTTTGGGGAAAAAAAAAAATCAACACAGTTGTAATCAGCAAGCTCAAAATTCTGAAGCACTAGGCATAACCCTGCAAGTGTTACCTTGTGGTTCTGCAAGACACTCTTTATCTTGCCAAAAGTAGAAGAAAACACAGCCTACAGCTCATAGGTACATGCAGCTGCTGGAAACTAGGCTGGAACAGATAACTTACTGTCCCTTCTGGCAGATGCCGTTATTTTCCATAATCCCTATGCAGCACTTAGATATTTAATAGCTTCCTTAGAAATGGCAGAGTAAAATTATGCTAAATAAGCAATATTTACTAGAAATTCTTCTGATCCTTCCCTTGAGGCATAATTGAACGTTACTACTGACTCCTCAAAAGGGGCTGCTCCATTTCCAATCCCTTTACTCCTTAGGAAAACCATTTTGCAAAAGGAAAAACCTTTAAATTATTTGTTCTTCCTTTGAAATGGTTCTCTGATTTGTCTGCTAGTTCAGATGCAGTGCTCCTACTGATCCCTCCTTTTGAGACTTTACATTCTTAATAATTCAAGGAGTGGAACAGGCTGGACTGGGTAAGTCCTTTGCATTTCACACAGCAGCATGAAAATTGCTAATTGAGAAGCTGTGTGTGCTGAAGCATTGTCACAAAATCTGGTTATAATATTTACAGTTATATATGTAAGTATATATATACATTTGGTGCAAAGTATGTAAAACTGTACGTATTTTTTATGCTGATACCTAAAATGACATGACTTTTGGGCTTTGTACACACACTGGTTAGGAAGTAGATGTTTTTTGGCCACAGCGTTTTTTTCAAAACGGCGCATAGGGTTGTACTACACAGGGATGTGTGCTGTGTACAGAACGGGGTGCTGTGCTGTGTGACCCTGTACGAGGACTTCACTCGGTGATGCTCAAATGTAGGATAAAGGTCTGTAAGCTGTCCGAGTTAAAGAGCTCCTCGGGCCGATCCCCAGAGCCCAGAAGAGGGCAGTGGATTGTAAACACTCTCCTGCCTGGAGCCCTGGGACTTCCACCCTGCTGGTACCGCCGCAGGTCACAGCGGTGGCAATTGCAGGGACCAGTTACGGGGCTGGCGGATGGGGGGCAGCTGCCTGCCGTGCCCCTGAACACCCGGCCCACCTACCGCATCACCTCTTCTCCGCCCCGCATCGCAGCATCATCCACCCGGAGCACCAGGGAAACAGGACAGCCGTGCTCTGCCAGTCCCCACACCAGTTCCCCTATGCGGTCACGGGAAAGGGAAGCATCTCCCTGCCCGGCGTCGCAGAACGGGAAGATGAGAGAGCCCGTCGCTGATCCGGCAGCTGGGCGCTGCTTCGTCGTGGTCCCTATCCCGATCCAGCCGCCCCATCCCTGTCCCATCCCTATCTCGATCCAATCGCTCCGCCTCCCCTCGCACCGCCCCCCGCGCGCCGCAGCGCCCCCGTGCGGGCCTTTCGCGCCCTGTTGCCACCCTTGGTGACGTCACACGCGGTCTCTCCTTCTGGCTTCTCGGATTGGCCGGCGCCCGCGCAGCCTTCCCGCCTCTAGCGCGCGATTGGCGGGCCGGCCCGTGATTGGCGGGCAGAAGGCGCGGGGGGAGAAGAGGCCCGGGCCGGCTGCGCGGGGAGAAGCGGCCGCGGCGCGGACGCCGAGCGGGACCGGCGCGGTTATTTATTGTCTACGCGCGGTGTCCCGGCGGCGGCAGCGCTTCGGGGCTTGTGTGGGGAGAGGAGGGGGAGGAGGCGACGGTGGGGGAGCGGCGCCGGGCGCCGGGACGCGGGTGGAAAGAGGAGGGGAAGAAGGAGGGGGCCGGGCCAGCCCCGGGTGTGCGTGTGTGCGGGGGGCGCGGGTCTGCGCGGGAGCGCGCGCGCGCGCGAGGGGCGGGAAGGGAGGGAGTGAACGAGGGAGGGAGGGGACGAGGGAGGAGGGAGGGAGGGGGAGATTTTTTTATTATTAATCTGTTTTCCGGGCCTTTGTGGCTGCGGGGGGGGGGGGGGGGGAGGGGGGGGACGGCCCGGGGGTGAGGAGGAGGGCGGGAGGCAGCAGCGCTACGGCGGCGATAGCGGTGGCTGTTGTTGCCGCCGCTGCCGCCGCGAGGCGAAGGGACCGGCCCGTCGTCCCTTTAAACTAGCGAGAGCCGCAGGCCCGGCCGGGCCCTCCCTCCCACCCTCTCGCTGCCTCCCCGCCGGCGGAAGGGGCGCTTTGTGCGGGCCCCTCGGCCGCCCTTCCTCGGTGCCGGGGCTCCGGTGAGGGCGGGCGAGGCGGGAAGGGCGGGCGCGGAGCGGCCCCAGGCGCGGTGTCGGTGCCGGCCCTCCCGGCCGCCTCCGAGCGCCCTCGCCTCGGCTAAGGAGAGACGGGCAGAAAATGGCAAAGTCTGGAGGAGGAGGAGGAGGAGGAGGCGGCGGCGGCGGCAGCGGGGGACTGACTTGGGTGGTAAGTTGTGGGGCTGCATCTTGTTGTTCGTGGATTTTGCTACTCGTGTTTTGTTGTTATTACTATTATTTCTGTTTGCGTCCCTTGCGTGTGTGGAAAGAGCGCGGGTTGGCTTTGAAAGGAGGGAAGAAGCTGAGGGAAGAAGCTGGGGGCTGGCGTGGAAAGCGAAGCGCTGTGGAGCCGCCGCTCTGTGGAGGGCTCCGGGATAGGAGGAGGAAGACTGGGCTTGGAATTGATGCTACAGGAGGGGAGATTTTATCCCTCTGGGGGCTTCTCGGGGTGCTGGGAGCCGTAGGGAAGAGGTCACTCTGAGCAAACAGGTGGGAAGCTCCCGGGGGGAGCGGGTGGGTCATCAGGGCTGTCTTGAAGTCGCTGTCCTCCAAAGCGAGATATGGTCTGTCTGTCTTTCTGTCGTCCCGCCAGAGTTGTGGGTATTGCCTCTTGTTCCTAGAGCAAAGCCTTTGCAGGCTAGCAGAGGGTCTTTGTGTTGATCCTATTTTCTTTTCCAACTGTGTGTGAAGACAATACCTGAAGTTCCCAAGTTTCAGAGACAGGAAGCAGGAGCTGTGTGCTTGCTGTTCCATCTTGGCATTCAACTTCATCATCCTCCAGAAGTTGTAACTCTGTAACAGACCCAAGAAGGGGGTGTTTTACTGCCTTTCCTGGGTTGGTCGGAAGTATTAAGATTAGAGAGGGTGCTGGTGAAGCTGTCTCTAGAACTGGTGAATCCTTTTGAGCCTCCTTATAGTCCTTTGAGAGTGCTGGCTCCCAGTGCTGAGGTGCTCCCCTGGTCAGTAGTAAGAGCGGATGCTCTCAGGTTTTGGTGAGACCTGAGAGGAAGGAGGAGCAAAGGTGACCTGAAGGGGTCTGGTTCAGCCAATCGGTAACTCCCCCGCCTTTCTCCTGCTCGGCATAGAGGGGTAACTTCTTTAATGTTTAAGCAGAAGACACTAGATCTTGGTGGACAGGTATCTTTGATCAGACACATGTGCTTTCCAGAGGTGGGAACTTTTAACGAGTCCTGTTAAACAAATAACAGCAAACTTATTCTTGTGTCACTCTACATCTTGGAGCTGTTGAAAATGAAGTATTATTGGAGTGAACAAATGGTGTGTGTTCTGATGGTGGACTATATCCATGGATCTAATTACTGCATTTTATGTTGGTAATTCTCTTTGATTTTAAAAAGCTGGCATGGAAAGGTATATTAAAAAAAAATCTGTATGTTTCTGGTTGCGCCACTTGAAATTACACAGTTTAGCCATGGGAACATGTCTAAGTTGAGAAGCTATTCTCCTTTCTTTTCACAATACTTTGCAATATTTATCAACTGTGATCTTTGGATGGCTCTTCAGAATTAAGATTTTACCATCTAGGTTTGACCAAGTAATTGAAAGTTTTACAGCTCATACAGAAAACTGCAGAATGAAGTGTGAAAATTACTGAATAGGCATTTTTATTGAAACATGTTCTTAAATGTAATGGGGTTGAAATTATGGTGAGTCAACAGTTTCCTACAACTGGAAATGATCAAACTTTTCATTCTCTAAAAGCAGTAAAAGTTAAAAGTGTTTTTGTCAACTCAAGAGTAGTTGTAGGGAAATAATCGGATTTTAGTTGAAACTGTTCATTTATTTTTTCAGAAAACAGTGGGACATTCTTTCTTCTCTCATGTGTGTTTTAAATTGTGAAGGTAGGATTTCTGAGCCTGCTCCTAAAACCAGACCTGTTCCATGTCAGCTGTAGAACACTGGCATGCAAAAGAACAATATCGTTGTAGCACTGAATTGAATGGGGCCATGACCTGTGTGCCAGGCTGAAAAAACCCTTGGTTTAGGTGGTGGTTCATTTGCAGATTATCATATGCTGTCCTTGAGGAGGGTGAGAGGGACAGAGGTAGGGACAGAGTAGTTTCAGCTGTCTGGCTTTAATCTGCTTGCCATGTATCTGCTGGGTATGCAACCACTTGCAGTTCAGTTGTAGGTCGTTTTGAAACCACCTTGATTTTTTTTAGAATTCTTACCAGTGTGTTGAAACCACCAGGATGCTTCTCTGTCTGAGTAATGTATTCTCTGTAGTTTGTGGTTTCTTCATAAGACCACGAGTTAAACAATTGAAGGGTAACAGAA